CTATTTGTAACCTCAGATCCCTCTCTCTGCTCCCGGAGCCAGTGAAATATGAGCATTCCCAGCTACACACCTTTCATGTGGCCTTTGCCACACCCTGAATTTTGTACTCTCAAACTGTGAGCCAAACTCAGTTCTTACTGCCTTAACCTGTTTCCGGTTTATGTTTTGTCACGGGAATGAGAAAGACAAAAAAACAAAACAAAACAAAACAAAAACCCTGACATACAGGCCATTTTGTCTTTGCTCTAACACTGGTAGAGCCTGCTGGGAGAACAATAAAGCAGCCACAGATAACACCGACATGAATACATGTGGCTGTATATAAGATAGCTTTAGAAAGGAAAGGCCACTCAAATTTGAGCCATGGGCCAGAGGTTTTGAGCCTCTTCCAGTGGTTCACGCAAAGTAACTACCAATGCATTTTCCTTAGAAGACCCTCCGGCTCATTTATTCCACTATCTACCATTTCAGCTGGGTCAAGGTTAAAAGTTTATTAAACTATACCTTCATCAAGTTAAAGAAATACAGTTCAATTTGTAGAGCTGACATAAGAGGAAACTTACTATCGCCTAGAGAGATATATTCATTCAATAGACTACTTAGAAACTGCTTTCAGTTTCTGACTGTGCTGTTGTGAACCAAACAACAGTTGTCGTGGTTCCTGATGTCTGAGACACAGAGGAGAAGTGGGATTTATTTCGCAAGTAATTTATTAGAGCAAATGTCTATGAAGGGAACCTGTGGATAAGTGGGAGGAGCCAGAGACAGCCTTCAGATTACCTGCAGGCTTTACTCCAGTGAGGAAGAGGGGGATGGAAAGGAGCATTAGATGGAAGGTCTTAGTCCTCAGGACGGCTGTAATTATATTCAACAGGCCATGGGCCAACCTTAGCCGAAGTCGTGTGTCAGCAAAGTTCTCAAGCTCCTGGGAGCAAGACTAAGTAGCCTGCCACAGTGAGTCATTGCTTTGAAATGGCGGCTGAGAATTGTGGTCTCTGTACCAATACGTGATGGGTTTGAGAGCCCAGCAGCTGGTGGGGGTCACTGGGCAAGTCTACTTCCCACAGCAGCACACTGAAAAGGTATGCTTTAAAAATGACAGAAAGCGAAAAGAGAATTCATCTGGAGACTTTCTTCCCCCCCTGCACTAACTCCAAGTCACTGGACATAAGGGTTGCTTTAGGCATTAGTAGTCTACAAATCACCTACTTGTCTGGCTTGCACCATGGAAACATGCAAAATAGTTCTGTTCCCATGTGACTGAATTCCATTTCTAATACTGCAGAGATGGAGTTTATTTCCCACCAGCAAGACAGCCCTTTGTCTGAAATAAATTTCGTTCTGTACTGGGACCCACTGTCCCAAAGTCTTGCAGATAAACCAGAATCTGAGGAGAGAGATCAGCATTGGTAGAAAGAGGAGCATGGAGATTTGGATGGCAAAATGTTTAAGTTCTCAACCTAAATATTCATTAATTCTTTCATCAGAACTGACTTCCTGCATCACTCTTTAGTTTGGTTTCCTCATCTTTATAAAAGGAATGAAAATAATACATACATCTATAGAATATATCTGCTACTAATAGTTAATGTATGTGCAAGACTGCTTAAAAGAGAGCCAAGAAGAAGATTGAAAGTACACTTTACTAGGTTTGTTGATCTGATACTTCCCTCTACACCAAATTTACCTGAGGAAAAAGTGAGAAAGAGATTATGCCATAGGAGGGAGACTTGAATAGTTCCTGATCCTAGCTCCTTTATGCAGAAGAGGAACTTGAAGGAGAGCAGATGCTGGCCAGGACAGATAAGAGCCAGTGGTGTTCTGGGGTGCTGTAGGGGAAGAGCAGGCTTTCTCTGGTTTGGGCTTCTCATTATCACCCATGGACAGCAGTGTTTTGAGGTGTGCTCAAACTGTGACCCTTTTTCTGATTATGATGGTCACCGAATGTGGGGGCCTGTATACCCTGCAGCAAAACTATGGTTCTTCCACCTTCTGTGAAAGGACAAGTCCAGGGGGTCAACAGAGGACTAGTAAGCAGTAAGTTGCTCATCTTTCTGACATCATCGTCTGAGAGCACAGAAACGGGGCTAAGCCATTGCTACATGATGCTCAACGAAGCAAAATAGAAAAGTATTAAGCCAAGTGAGGGGAATGTCGGAGAGAAATAGAAGAACAAACCTGGACAGAGCAGAAGGCTCCTCCAGCTTGTAAATTCTTAGAAATTAATCACATATAAAAGAACTGAGCTTTCAGTAGTCATTTTGTCAACTTGACCCTGCATCAAGACTGGAGTGCATTTCAGTGGTTATGTTGAAACAGAACATGTCCTGTCTCAATAGTTCACACGTACACCTGGTGATGTGGATACACACTTGCTTCACAAAGGTTTGGGGCATAAATGTCAATGACCGAAAGATGTTCTAAAGAAGATAATAAGAGCTGGGTGGTTAATCCCAGCACTCGGGAGGCAGAGGCAGGTGGCTCTCTGTGAATTTGAGGCCAGCAGGGTCTACAGAGCTAGTTCTAGGACAGCCTCCAAAGCCAGAGAAACCCTGTCCCAAAAAACAAAACAAAACAAAACAAAAAGAAAGAAAGAATAAGAAAAGGTAAAACTGGGTTCAGTTTGTAAAGTAGAATATACCCTGTCTCATTGCCACTTGTTGGTAATTCTGAAGTATTTGTGTTTTGTTTTGTTTTTTATTTTATCTATCTGAAAAATGCTCTTGCTATATCCAATAAGCTTTACTTGGTCTTTATGATGAATTTTTACTGTTCCACACAGGGTGTGTTATTTTGTCTTTGGCTTTTCTGTACTGTCTTTTAAAAAGTAAGTATCTCCCAGCCTTTAGATTGCAGAACAAGTTTTACTTTTAAAAACTTGCATAGCATCAAACTTCAGAGTTTGTAGAGACATAAAAATAAAACTCTCTTTCTCTCTCTTTCTCTCTCTCTCTGTGTGTGTGTGTGTGAGAGAGAGAGAGACAGAGAGACAGAGACAGAGAGAGACAGAGGCAGAGAGAGAGACACAGAGAGAGAGAGAGAGCATGCTGGAATCCTTTCCTTCCACCATATAAGAAAAACCTCAGGTTCTCAGGCTTGGCAAAAAGCACCTTTACCAGCAAGCCTTTAAGGGTTTGAACTCACAAAAATATTTGTAGCAGGTGGTAAGCTCTCTGAATGAAATAAAGAGAAAAATATAATCATAGATGTCATACATGAAACCAATACTGTACAGCTCAGCATGCTTGCCCTGTGTGATAATGCATCTTGTATTGTTTAGTTAGGAGCTATAGTTCCTATCCCCTGGACTCTGTGTGGATCTCGTAAGGATCCACAGGAGGAAAAAGAGTATTTCCCCTAATCTGTATGATCAACTGTTATGTTTTAATTCCACTGGTCAGTAATTAGCACTATTAATCAATGGAAGAGGGATGAGCACTCCAGCTTTGAGTCCCTATTGTATAATCATATTAGTGAGAGAGATCAGTGCAACTTCCTTAGCTGCAGGCATGAAGTGGCTTCCCCAAATGTGTTTTGTATCCAGGCAACCTGTATTTTATATAAAATGCTTTATCCATATAAATCATCTTTGTTATTCTCTTTCAGTGTAATCATATGATCTGCAGTGATTCTGACACAGATGAAATAAAGTAGAAATAGTCCACCATTTTTGCCTGGGCATCTTTACATGTACACATTTTTTTTAGCCTTAGAGAAATCAACTACGTTTGGATATTCCGGTGGAATAGCTCTGTCCAAATACACAGTAGCCACCACCTAACAGCACTAAGAGATTATCTTGTATGGCTTTAGTGTGACATTGATGACAATGGCAATCAAAAAGCATCCTTACATTTTACTGATTTCTACTCAAATATGCAGGTATGTGCAGACTCAGGCCCATTCCTGTTCAATGCACACTGGATTTTCCTTTCAATCCATTGCACACACAAGGCCACTGCAGAGGCCACTGTCTCTAGAGCATTACCAGAGATAAAGCAAGACAGGTCGAAAATGACCATCAAAGATACCAGTTACCCGCACGGCTATTTTGTTTGACACAAGTCATATCACAGTTGGTAGCTGCAGTGTTTATTTGAACTTCAGACTGATTAGGGTTTCTTGGCTGCTCTGGTTTTGCAAACACATACAAAGCTAAATATACTCACCCTCATTAATGCAAAAAAACCATGCATAGCTTGTTATCATTGTTGTTATTGCCAATAAACAACAAAAAAATGTATGTTTCCCCAAGCCTCATGCTGAATATGCTCCGTGTTTATGGAGTAAACAAAAGGATAATTTCAGAATAATCTTCCAGTTGAGTATGTGACTCAGGGCCCTGGGGACCTACCTGGGTCTCAACATCTGTCAACTTTCGTGTCTGCTCTGCAGTCTGAGACAGGAGGCTGGTTCCTATCTCCAGCATGGTGGCCGTGTGGTTTTGAACCGCGTTCTGTTGTATCTGGGCCATCTCCGACTTCATATTTTCCACAATGTAATTCTCAAGCTGCAAGAGATAAAGGACAAGGCACGGTAGATTATAAGCAAAGACTTTCTGTTTGCGGTATGCCGTATTTACAGTGACAAAACAAGACACAGCTGGCAGAGCAGCCAGCCATCTGGCAGAGATTTACTGCATGTCAGGGACTTGAGAAATGGAAGCAGAACACACAGCGATCCAAACCTTTGATATACAGACACACACCCATGATAACACAAATCATAGTGAGAATTTTCACTTGGATCCCAACTCTCCTGTTGTGGACGTGTCTTGTTTAACCCTCACAGCAAGGATGTGAAGGAGGCCATTGGTTGCCTTGTTTTTGATTTTATAGCCAGTGACACAAACCGGAAAGAGCCAGTAATAAAGCCCACAGTTACCTAGCAAGAATGCCGGTAATTTAGCAAATAATTTAAAGGTAAATCTTACTGCTTTGGTCTTTTGATTATGCCATGCTAACCGCTGACCTCAGAATTCAGCATTCTGTTTCTATTTCCCATGATAAAAAGCAGGTTGCATTAGGGGAATGAGCCAGGGGATAAGAGGAGGAGGACTGGTACCCAGGATGAAAAACGCCTTCAAAAAATACTGAAACATCAGCAGTGATTACCATATGAGCTGCCATGTCGGAGAGCTGGCCTTCGCCATTCTCTGAGCTCCTTTGCAAGCTCAAAAAGAAGGCAGTGCAACTGCAGTTCATAAAAACACCATTTGCCCTTCTCGTCTGGGTAAAATTGATTCCTTTATGATACCATCTCAGAGAACACAATGATCATAAAATAGATGGTACCATAGGGGCCAACAAGAATTATTAACTGACTGACTATGGGGTGGGGGTGCGGAGCTTGTTAGGCACCTGGGAGAAGGAAATAGCAGAGGCATGGCTTAAAGAATGCAAAAGAAAGCAGTACCTCCCTCCCGGGCAGTGCTCTCAACTCCCCATCACCACTGTGTGGTGACTGTATTTTATTACCCAATTTCTCATCTGAGGAAACTGCATCCCAGAGACATCACTTCCAAGGCCACACACCACCCAAACAGTCAGACTTGGACTTGAGCGCTGAAGTCCTTAACTCTGACACTAACACTTTGAACCACTTGCTAGTTCTGCCAAGTTCTGCTTAGCACGCTGAGTTTGAAATCATTAACAGCTACATGATTTTTATTGATTCAGTGAACTACAGTGCATCCATATTGTAAGCTCCATAGTGTCATTATCGTGCAATAAAGAGAGTCTAAGTGTAAAATCCCCTCAGAAACGTCGCCAAGTTGACGTTCTAACACCAGTCATTGCTTATTTCTACTTATCTAACTTGACTCTGGTCTAGACCAGCAAAACTAAAATCAAACTTATATTATCGTTGATGACTTCTGAATTGATATTTTATTAACACAAGACAGCCCTCTTTCACTGCAAATGCAAAGCAAGTCGTAAAATATCTGAGAGTTACTTTAGCGAAATAGCTGGTCTCAGAGCCAAATTTTGGGTTTATTCTCATTAAATTCCATCATTTCCACAACCAAAGAATGGTAGAGAAGTGGAGGCTAGGCCAGAGCCCCGAAAGTCTCTCATTTTGGGTTCCATATTCCCGATGATAGAATTTTGCTGTCTTTTGTGAAATTGTCTTTGCCTCCTTCAAGACTGAGTGCTTTGGGTAGAGTTAATCCACGACAGTTTCTAGGGTATGTTCATGTTTGAACTTTGAAAACTACAGAGTGCCTCTCT